GGAGGAGAAGGTACCGGAAAGGGAGGCTTCCATGGCTGGGGAGGGGTGGGGAGGGGGGAGGTGTGTTGAGGGCCATGATGGGAGGAAAGGAGAGGCTGGGAGTTAGCCTGGAGGCAGCCCAGCTCTCAGAGCTACCCTGGATCTCTCCTGTTACCGGATGCTGCCGTGACCGTCTCCTGCTGCCCCTTCTTGTGTGGCCAAGGGGACAAGAGAGCCTGGGATTCCCTACCCAAGGGGCCCAAAGGCAGCTTCCAGGGCTCTCTGGATCCACCATCCCCAGGGTGCACTTTGCCCCACCTGTGTGCACAACCTCTAGGCTGGACGGGTGGAAGGGAGGCTTGGACTGGGCTGTCCTTCTGTGGGTGCGATATCCCCCGAGGCCTGGGAAACCCCCGCCAGCTCTCCTGGGCCACCAAGTTCTAGTGTGGAACTCTGAGGATTCCAAAGAATACAAATTTGAACCTGGCCTTCCGGGTCATTGTGAAGGTCTATTTGTCAGAGGGGGGAGGAAGAACGTATTTTATTTAACAGTTTGGTTGGTAATTTTAAAAATTTTAGACAATTGGTATGTGTATCTTTATTTGGTCTCTTTCTTGGAGACCTGCAAGGAGTAAGGGTGAATCTACCTGGAGAGGCACGTCCTGCAGAGGTGAGCCACTGTTCCTCACTCCCGGTGCTGTCCTTTTCCCCAGGAGCACCGCCGCCTCCACATGGGCGAGCGCCCCTTCCCCTGCCCGTCCTGCCCGAAGCGCTTCAAGACCCCCTACAAGCTGCACCGCCACGAGCCTCTGCACGCCCCTTCGCGGCCCTTCCCCTGCCGGGACTGCAGCAAGGCCTTCGCGGCAGGGCCGGCCCTGCTTCTGCACCGGCAGCGGCACTGTGAGGACAAGCCGCACTCCTGCAGGGTGTGCAGCGAGCGCTTCATCCACCGCCACAGGCTGCGGGTGCACGAGCGCGTGCATATGGGCGATCGGCCCTACGTCTGCCCGCTGTGCACCAAGGCCTTCAAGCAGTCCAACGCGCTGGCCTCTCACCTCCGCGTGCATTCGGGCGAGCGGCCTTACCCTAGCTAGGTGGCTAGCTGCTGCCATCCTGGACAGCACAGGTCTAAGGTATGAAGGCATGAAGGGTGCCCGGTAGTGGCTGTGACATTTGAAGAACTGCCACTGATGCCCATGTAAGCCACTTAATATACTGAATATTCTTGAGAAGGACTTTGCAGAGGGCCTTTAACAAAACCTTTTTTTTTTTTAATCCCCTGCAAAGCCAAGACGAAAGTTTATAAATCTCATTCCAGGGTAGCAAGTGCACACACCCAACCTATCACACTGGTTATGTGGTATAAATGTACATGGTAATAACTTTAATCAAATCAGAGCTGCTACCATGTATAACCTGTTAGGTGGCCCTGTAGCTGTGTCAGTGTTCCTCATTTACTAAAATGTCAATGTGGTAATGAGGTCATCTGGTGGTGAGGATGTCCCATTGGTGGCTTGTGGCATAAAGGATATGAGGGTGGCCACAAATGCAGGTAGGAGCTGTAGGAGCCTTTCTTGAATGTGAGCGCTTCTGGATCCTCCTCCACCACCTGTACGTAGACCTTTGGTACTAAGGCCTTGCTGGTGACTCTTGTCAAATTTAAAGAAGTTCACAGATGGATGGATAACTGTTCACTGTGGACACCCTGGGTTATGTCCTTGCAGGCATAGCACAGCAAAACCATTGGTGCTGAGATCTTCTAGTTGGTGATGTATGGCATTTTAGGAACAATCATTTCGCCAGACATGGGCGTGACCTGCACTTCAGGTGGGCGTCCCATCTCTGTTGGCTGCTCCTTGGTCCCCATCTGTCAGATCACCTTGTAATGGTTGGAGGCCTTTCCACTCCATCCACAGTGTTCCCTTCGACCCTAGCATCAGCTCCATGAGGCCTACCTTTGGATGGACGTCCACTCTCATAGACCTTGCCTTGCAGGTGGCTGGAAGTGTGATAAGATAGCTTATGGGATGGTGGCCACAGTGGTGTCCAGAATATCTGAGTCGTCCCATCCCAGCTCTGAGATCAGCTCTGCAGACAGTATTTTTTTAAGCAAGTAATAGCCCAGGTATCATGCAGCTGATGCCAAAGATGTCCCTTGGGTGCTGAAGAGGTCCCCTGGGTGCTGAAGGTGTCCCCTGGGTGCTAAAGATGTCCCCTGGGTGGTTTGTGGGATCTTTCAGAACATCAGTATTGCCTCCCACCCACACCCTACTCTCAGCCCTTCACAGATGTGCTCTCTGAAGAGAGAGCTGAACTTACGGACAAAGTTCAGCCCAAGGAAGTATGTCGCGGTCACTGGGGCTGTGATCTTGGTGATTTGGGACATTTCCAGAACACCTTCAACTCTCCCTCTCCCACCTCTTGGTCTGGCCTCAGCTCCATGGCTTCTCACCTTCTGAATGCTGTTTCTTTCAAGTCCCCAGCTTCACCTCCATAATGTGTTAGAGGTTCCCCCCTCCCCGGGAATTTATGTAAACACTTAATAGCATTGGGGGAGGAGCTAGGGATTTGCCTGGGAGGCATCATAAGGTGGGTCCTATCCATGTGGCATCACAGTTTAAGGTCAAGTCCTTAAAGGTCTTAGACCTCCCCGCCCTAATATGCAGCTGTGCCTTTGACAGGCTTGCATTTTAAATTTTATCAAATGTCTTATTGGCATCTATTAAGATGATTCTGATTTTTCTCATTTGACCTAATAATATGATAAACTATAGTACATTAAGAAGAGCAGAGATATCCTTACATTCCTAGAATAAATCTCACCTGCTTATAGTATCCTCTGTTTTAATGATTTCTCTTCACCAATATTTTATTTAAGCATCTAAATTCATAAGTGAGGACTTCCCTGGTGGCGCAGTGGTTAAGAATCCGCCTGCCAATGCAGGGGACATGGGTTCCAGCCCTGGTCTGGGAAGATCCCACATGCCGTGGAGCAACTAAGCCCGTGCGCTGCAACTACTGAGCCTACGCTCTAGAGCCTACGAGCCACAACTACTGAAGCCCACGCGCCCAGAACCTGTGGTCTACAACAGGAGAAGCCACCACAATGAGAAACCCGCGCACCGCAACAAAGACCCAATGCAGACAAAAATAAATAAATAGATAGATAGATAAATAAATAAATAAATAAAATAAAAAGCAGAAACCTGTTCTGGGGGAAGATGTCATGTGGTACATTTACAGTCATTTTATCTATAATGTCAGACTTAAAACTAAAACTTCATCAGCAGGGGTAGAAGCAGAAAATTTGATAAATAATTAGAAAAAAAAAAACTGATGATGGAAAGAGATCAATATATTACCCAGATTGTAATGAGCAGGGAATACTTCGAATTAACTGTGGCTAAGCTGCTAAAGAAAATAGGGAAGATCAAAAAGCAGATGAAATAAGGGCACATTTCAACAGAGAATTGGAATCTAGACAAGAATCAAATCAAGATTTTGGGCAAATGCAAAATCTGAAACTAAAGTTAATTGAATAGGTTTAATTGTATACTGGGTCCTGAATAAGATGATAAGATGGGACTCATGAATACAATGACAGGTCAATAGGAAATAGCCAAATGGAAGCATGGAGAGCAATTGAAAAACAAAACAAAACAAAACAATACAAAACAAAAAACAGAAGAGAATAAATGATAAAAGATATAAGGAACATATATATATATGAATATAAGCCATACGTACATATAACTTAAGTACCAAAATGAGAGGAGAAACACATTGAGGGAGAAGCAAAATTTGAAGTAATAATGGCTAAGAATTGTCCCAAACTGATGAAAGACATTAACTCAAAGATTCGAGAAACTCAGCAAAATCCAAACAGGAAATACACAAAGAAAACCACACCTGGGCACATCATAGTCAAACTGTTGAAAATCAAAGCAAGGACTAAATTTTTAAAGAAGCCAGAGGACATTCAGGTTTGTTTCCATGTCTCGGCTATTGTGAATAATGCTGCAATGTACATGGGAGAGCAAGTATCTCTTCAAGATCCTGATTTTAATTCCTTTGGAGAAATACCCAGAGGTGGGATTGCTGGATCATATTGGGTTGGCCAAAAGGTTCATTTGGGTTTTTCCATAAGATGTTACAGAACAATAGTTCTGTTTTTAGTTTTCTGAGAACCTTCCATACTGTTTTCCAAAATGACTGTCCCAATTTGCGTTTCCACTAATAGTGCACAAAGGTCCCTCTTTTTCATATCTGGTTTTGATTTGCATTTCCCTGATAAATTAGTGATGTTGAGAATGTTTTCATATACTGTTGGCCATTTGTGTATCTTCTTTGGAAAAAAAAGCCTATTTAGGTTCTTTGCCCTTTTTTAATCAGTTTTTTCTTTCTTTCTTTTGCTATTGAGTTGTATGATTTCCTCTGATATTTTAGAAATTAATATGCATACATAAAATTAATCCAGCTATTCACATACACTTGGTACAATTTAATGTATGGCTGTTACATCTCAATCAAAAGAAGGAAATGCAATGAGCTTGTGCTAGCCCACTGGATAGACTAGTGACCTAACCTTTGGCCAGTCCCTTCTTTGTTGTGAATAGTATTTTCTTCAGAGAGGTGTTTTTCCATAGATCAAAGAATCCTTAGGAAGTCTAAGAAAATAAGTAGTTTACCTGTCCTGGAAGAGTGCCATTTGTCAAAGTTCATTAAGTATTTGTTTGTTGGTTTGTTTTAAGTTTTCTTTTTTTTTTTCGCGGTACACGGGCCTCTCCCGTTGCGGAGCACAGGCTCCGGACGCGCAGGCTCAGCGGCCATGGATCACGGGCCCAGCCGCTCCACGACATGTGGGATCTTCCCGGACCGGGGCACGAACCCACATCCCCTGCATCGGCAGGCGGACTCTCAACCACTGCGCCACCAGGGAAGCCCTGTCAAATGAGAATTTTAAACACTGGGTTTAACAGACAGAGGCCCCTTCTAAGTACTTTACAAATATTAACTCATTTAATGCTCACGACAACCCTATGAAGTGGGTGCTATTAGTCCCGTTTTGTAGCAGGGGAAACTGGGGCACAGGGAGGCTAAGCAAGCTGCCCAAGGTCACAGCCGGCTGGGGGCGGGCGAGATTCTACCTCGTGCCGTCCTGCACCGGACTAGGTGGGTAGGCTTCCCTGTACTGGTGGGGTCTTGAATTTGGGATCTTGTCCGTCCTCCCCCATCAGGATGTGAGCTCTGGGTGGGGGCACCTCGTCTGGTGCACACAGGCATTTAATGAACATTGTGGAATCAAGAAGGGATGAGTGGATATCTTAGGATGGCCACATCCCTTCGTGACCGCCTGCGCCCTCCTGCCGTGCTCTGCTCGGGGAATTCTATTCGTGGTCAAGACGTTTAGTCCCAGTAAACTCGATCCTCGGGGCGAGGGGGGACCCCAAGGAAATCACCAGCTTGGGCTGAGTCAGGACGGAGAAGAATCCGCTCACGGCGGGGCACGGGCGCCACCTGGCGGCGGAGTTCTGCTAAGACAGAGCCGCTGGGAGACCCGGAACATTTGCTTTGGGTGAAGTGGAATCGACATCTGAAAGGGAGTTGATATCGGGTGTTATTAGTGGGCAGTCGTCTGAAAATCAGTGTATGATGATGGGTGCCATCTACCAGTGGCTTCCAAACTTTTCTGGCCGTGACGCGCAGTAAGAAATCATTTCACATTAACATGGTTTCATCAAATACCACCCTGTACTGCATGATGTTTTTTATTCTACTGTATTCCTATTTTTAAATGTTGGTCAGATCCCCTGATCACACCTCCAGGGATTCCCCCTCTGACTTCAAGATGAACGGAGCTCAGAGAGGTGAAGACACTTGTCCAAATCCACACAGGTTGTATGTGACAGTGCCAGTTTCTGCCTCCGTCCTAAAGCAGAGACGTCACTAAATGCTCCACATTTCACGCTGTTGAGTACAATTTAATTTAGTCCTTTCTCCATTTTGCCAATAAGATTGAGCTGCACTGGTCTGCTGTTTTCTTATTACTGTGTAATGTAAATGAATGACATTCCCGAGCTCAGGCTTAAAAAACGCAAGTCTTCTTATGTGACAAAATGAATCTGAGACGGCAATAAAGAATCTACATTGAGGTGGCACTCACAGCATCACTGCCAACACCACTGTCACCATCACCATCGTCACCACGGTCGTCATCATAATCATCACATCCCCTTCTCTGTCACCATCAGCATCGCCATCGCCACTACGGCCATCACCGACATCACCACTATCACCACCACTGTCACCGCCACAAAAATCACCCCCACTTGAAAGCAGGTATCAGCAGCCCACTCTTTGTCTCCTAGCTACAGCCTTGGCCCAGCAAGCCTGCGTCCTCCATCCCTCTCTCCACCCTGAGCCACAGGGGATGTGACTATGACCCCGAGGGTAGTGCTGTCTTACTTGGGAACCAAGAGGATTCTGGGTTTGATTCTCTGACTTTTCTTTAAGTGACCTCAGTTCTATTCTGAGCTTGTTGCCACAAGGTTGACCATCCATAGATGGTGAGCCCAGCCCCTGGACCAGGGGAGGCTCTGCTCTGTGTAGCTCTAGGACCCTTGAGGTGGCTGAGACTCGGGGTGGGGTGTTTAAGGCTGAAAGCCTCCTGCTATAGGGGTTTGAGACCACTTTGGGAGGGGAGACCTGAGGGTCTGGGTTCTCTGTACTCATTGTCCTGTCTTAGGAGAGAAAGAGGAAGTCCCTCTGGGATGGCAAATAGGGCCGGTCGTCATGACTCTGCCCCCCGCCAAGATGAGACTTCCCAGGTCCCAAAGGAGAAAGTGAGAATGACAGCCTAACTTTCAGAAGTCACATCCTAGGGAGCTGCCATTTCCATCGCCTTCCTGAAGTACCCGTTTTTAAATTTCTTGTTCACTGTTATATCCCCAGAGCCTAGTACTCTGTATGGCACATAGTAAGTACTCAATAAATGTTTGTCAAATCAACGGGAAAAGAGATGGAGAGTTCCCCTCCCCTGCAACTGTTAGGGAAGAGATGGGATTCTGCATCATATCGTTAATTCAAAGGATCTGATTTGATACGGTGTGAAGGGGAGAACTTTTACAAAATTATTAACTTTGTACTGTGCGCTTAAGAGACTTTGAAAATTAATAATTCATTCCAACATCTCCTGTTCCTTATGAATATTTCTCAGAAGTGATTTCAACAAAAATGTTTTCTACCATGCCCCGAACTGTAGGAGTTGTGGTCAGGTCCAGTGACTATTCCCTCCAGAAGAAGGCTTTCACCCTGCTGGGTTGTCTTGGTCATTTGCTGCCCTGCTTTTAACATCCTGCCTGTAAACTGAATAAATACAGGTAAGCTTTCTCGTTAGATCACAAGATCGATAGCCCTTTCCCTCACGATGGGAAACTAAATCCCATGACTCTGATGGATTAATTATCTTACAAACAAAACTAGTGAGCCCACGTTTGTACTAAATTAGCAAACGGTGCCAGGCCCACCGATGACAACTTCCGGGATGGCTGAGAGTAGAAGGTGGCGACCCCTGCTCGCAGCCCCGACACACACAGGCAAGAGTCACCTCCAATTTTGTCCCATTTTTTGAGTCCAATTTTGAAGATGGTTTTGTGTTCTTAAAGCATTCTTATAAAGCCTGTGTGTTGAACTGCATTTGTGAGAACAAAATGAGTTCTAGGTCCCTTATTTTTCTTTAATACTTTCTTTCTGTTGTCACTATTTATATCGTTTGTATGTCTTGATTAAAGCTAATTAATCAACGACGTGGTGGGCAATTTGGGGGGCAATTTGGAGTTTTTTTCTTTCCTGTGCAATGTTGAGGTAGCAAGGTTGACATGCTGCTTTCAGTCCCCTCTCTTGAGATATGAAGAATTCCAAAATATAAATTAAAAAATGTTAAAGGTACACACTGAGATTCTGGGGTTGCTTCTTACTGCAGCATAACCCAGCCTATCCTGACTGATACGGTTTCTGGTTCTCAGTAGAGCCTGAAATGTGCAAGTCTCAAAAAAAAAAAAAAAAAAAAGTGAGTAAATGAATGAATGGCAGGGAATAGGGACAGGGTCATACATTTTCTCCCGGGCCAAAGGTAGAGGAAACAGCCACGTCTTATGCTCACTCACTCACATATACGCTTGTAACCAGGCTGGGGTAAAAATCAGACTCTGGCCTTTATTTCCTATGGTCACAGCTCATGCTGACCCTGATGTCTTTGCCCCCATCCTTCCCCCACTGGTCAGTACTGGGGACTCTTGAGGACAAGGAATGAGGAGCTACAGAGACAAGGACATGAGATGTGAGGAGGGCCTGGGAGATGGAGGAGAGGGAGTTAGAAATGGGGAAGCCGAAACAGGAGGTGGGGGGGATAATCAGAGAGGTCAGAGTAGAGATGGGGAGACAAACATGGAGACAGGACAGAGACACACTGAACGAGAAGCCTAGAGAACAAAAGATTAGGGAACCGAAAGGGAAGGGCAGGTTGGAAACAGAGAGGGGGACCAGGCGACAGATGACGGGGAGCTGATGGGAAGAGATGCAGAGACATAGTGAAGGGGAGATGCAGACAGGTGTGCAGGCAGGTCACCCGGAGCTGGGTGAGAAAGATGGAGAGGCATAGGGGAAATTAAGAGGCAGAGACCCAGAGAAGGCCCTGCAAGGAGCCAGGGGCCGGGTTGGGGCTGGGTGCCCCTAGTATTTGCTCTGGGAATTTTTGCTGGTGGTGGAGACCCGGCCAGTGCTAGAGGCAGGGCCAGTGCTTGAGACTTGGCCTCTGCTGGACTCGAGGCCTCCACTCGATTCTGACTCAGGGCCTTTGCTCTCCGGGCCCCCAAAGCTCTCGTGGCCTCTGCTGGACCCCAAGTATCCAGTGGACCCCAGGTAGCTGCTAGAGTTGGGGGATGTGAAGATCGCTCGGCCCTCAGTCGAGCCCCGGCTGGACATAAGTCCCCCTTTGACGGCTCTGGTGGAGCCGAAGGTCGCGTGGCCTGTGCTGGAGCTGGGGTCCCTAAAGGTGACATGGCCGACATTGGAGCTGGTGGCGCGGCCTCCGCTGGACGCCAGGATGCCGCTAGCCCTGTGGCTCGTGAGGGAGCCGGGGACAGCGCTGGGGCTCTTGGGCAGCAGGGGCAGGCCGGAGCTGGCCTGGGTGCTGGAGAGGGTCACGCTCTGGGTGCTGTCCACCTTCGTGACGGCCTCAGCCAGCTGCTTCAGGTACTGACCCTTCGCCTGCTCCCGGGCCTCCAGCTGCGGGGGAGGCGAGTTAGGGCCCCAGAGGAGGAAGAGCCGCCCCGCACCCGCGGGCACCCGTCCTCACCGACTTCACCACGTAGCTCAGCAGCTCCCCCTCGCTGAGCGGGTAGTCGTCGTTGGCCTCAAAGCCTGGGGGGTCCTCACTAAGGTGGGTGGAAGGCAGGAAGGGACTCTACTCCTCGACCTTCAGAAGGCCGATGACACCTCATTGCTAGGCCCTGAGACCCTCAGCCATGCGCCGGGCTCTGAGCGCCCTTTCCCCTTAGGGTCCACCCAGGGCCCCATTGAATGTCCCTGGAGCCCTTACTCCTTCTGATTCCCCCGAAGTACCCACTTCATCTTCTACTCCCCCCGCCCCCGAGCCCCACTCACCCTCCAGTCCCAGGGGCCCGCCCACACCTGAAAACCCTCCCTTCCCTTGTCTCCTCTGCCCCCGTGGAAGCTCCCTGACCCTTGCCCTCTGGCTCACAGATTGTCAGGGGGCTGAGGTGGGGCCACTTTCTTGGGAAGATCCTCGGGGCTCTGGCCCAGCACCAGGAGGGCAGCGTTAGGCAAGCTGGCAGAGAGGTTGCTCTGGAGGGTGGAGAAGCCAGTGGTCTACTTAGGCCCGTCTCCAAGGCCCCGACGCCCTGTCCCCCCTCTGCACCGTCTGCACCCCAACCTGGGTTTCGAGGAAGGCCTGCACCGTCAGAAGCTCCACCAGCCGCTTCTCTATGAGGCCCAGGAAGAGGCCTATGTCCCGGTCTCTCATGTGGCTCTTGACCCCTAGGAGGTCATTGATGACCGTGCTGTCACACTGGGCCCTGGTGAAGAGGTGCTGGATATCTGGGGTCAGAGGGACAAGCCATCATGGATCCGGTGCCCATGGGGTGCCACCCTCTCTTATCCTCAAGGCCCTGCTGCCCAAGCAAGGCTCAAAGATGCGAAGGGACTTGCCCAAGTTCAGACCCACCGGGTTCCAGATGACAGAGGGCAAAAACCGAGGGAAGTCCAAGGAAAACGTGACAAGGGCACCTCCACACGGCCAGTCCTCTGCTCACGGCTCAGAATCACCCAGCTTCCACCCAACCCAGCGAGTCCACAGCTCAGGATGTGCTTCTACCAAAGAAACACACACACGTGCTCCACGGGAGAAAGCGGAGGAAATTCACAGCAGCACCAAGGCTGTGACCCGCTCTCACAATTGGCCCGCTTGTATTTAGTTAACTGGTTATTGTGAATGAAATAAGATGCACCCATGACCTTGACAGAAATCTGTGCCCAGCCTGTGGCATCCCTACCACCCTCCCCTGCCTCCCCCACCTGAGCTGCAGGCTCATATTCAGTTTCCTCCTGGGGTCCCTCTCCGAACAGTCCGCAATACCGCTCACACTGAGGTCAGGCTCACCCCCTAGAGCAGTTCCTCCTCCCAGCTTCCGCATTGCACCCTCACCGGGCCAGACCCCTGGTGCCTCAGCCCTCACACCCCCGTAGCCCCTCAGCCCGACACCTCTGTGCTCCATCTCTCCCTCTCCATCCTCATCCCTCTCCCTCCTATCCACCCCCCTCTCCTGCTCACAACCCTCCCATGGCTCCCCAGCACCCCCAGGAAAAAGCCTCAGCCTGGCATCCGTTTAGGATCTGACCCTCTTCAACTCCCACCCACGCCCTCTCTGCACGAAGAACCTGCCTTCCTTGGATGCACCTCTGAGCCTTGGCCCCGCCTGCTGGGACCATCCCCTCTCCCCAGTTTTTTGGTTAAATACTCATCCTTCAAAATCAGCCTCAAGCATCATGGCTCCCAGGAGACCTCCCCTGTGAGCCCAGCAGAGCCAATGTCATGGGCACAGGGCCCTGTGCCGAGAAGGAGCCCACGTTTGGTTTGATGCTCTGCTCTTGTCTCTTGAAATTCTTGCCAGTTTGTAAACAAGGGGCCCCGCATTTTCATTCTGCACTGGGCCCCCCAAATCCTGGTCCTGCACTCCACTCTGAGTTAAGGCATACCCTTCCTCCTGCAGGGCCCAAGGTGTCCTCCCTCCCAGCCCCTGGGTTACGAGTATCCAGAGCCCGTGTCAGCCTCTTCCCCGCCCTCCCCCTGCCTGTCCTCACCACCTAGCACAGGGCTTGTCACCACAGTCCCTACAACAGAGGGAAAGAGGGTCTGCCAATACCTGAGCTCCGACCGCGCAGCGCGAGGTGGCCCTCCTTCTTGCTCCCCACCACCACTGCCACCTCCCAGTCTCTCTCCATCCCTCATCCCATCTAATTCTCATGCCGACCCTACAAACTAGGCACTGCCATTCCACTTCCGGAGGGGCTCCAACAGAGGAAACCACACACAAAAGTTCACAAATGGTGGAGCTGGGATTCAAACCCAGGGCTGCCTGACTCTCATGGACTCCACACTGGAAGGATGAATGGATGATGGATGCAGGATAGATGGATGGATGCAGGATGGCTGGATGAAGGATGGCTGGCTGGCTGAATGCAGAATGGATGATGGATGAGTGAATGGATGGTCGGATGGATATGGGACAGACGACAAGGGAGTGCACAGAGTGGTCCGCGGAATGTCTCCGCGTGGCCGGCCCGGGCAGGCTCTCCGCCTGCTCATCGCATCCTTCCAGATGAAGAAGCCAGGGCGGGTGCTCACCGGTCTTAAGCTTCTCCAGCTGCCCGCGAAAGTTCTGGAAGCGGGCCTCCAGGTTCTCGGCCTCCGTGTGCACCTCGTCCACGCGCTGCTGCAACTCGGCCCGCTGCTGCTCTTGCCTCGAGCGACGGTCCTCCTCACTGCGGCGCCCGCTCTCCAAGGCCTCCTGCATCTACAGGGGCAGGGGCGCGACGCTGGGCCCAGCTCGGGAGGGGGCGCCAACGCGGGTGGAGGAGAGGAGGGGGAGGGGAGGGGGAGGGGGAGGGGCGGGTCTCGCTCACCTCCTTGATCTCCTCCTGCAGACGCTCCAGCTCTGAGTTCTGCTCATTGATGAAATTGAACTCCGCGAAGTTCCGCTCCTCCACTGGGGGCGAGTCAGGAAAGGCAGCGTCCAGAGAGACAGAGACCAGCAAACACACAGAAAGGCAGAGAAAGAAATGTTGAGAAAGGCAACAAAGACACAGAGACAAAGAGAGACAGAGACGGAGAGATATAGGCAAAGAAATAGACACAGGGGCCAACAGAGAGAAATACAGGGCAAGGCAGAGCGACAGAAAGAGATAGCGACCGAGAGAAAGTCACAGAAATGCCGAGAGAGACACAGAGAAACAGAGAAGTGAGGGAGAGCAAACGGTAAAGGTGGGTAAAGAGAGAACATTAGACCCCGGGAGAAAGACAGCAACAGGGACACGGAGATAGGCACACAGAGGCTGAGGGTAAGATTCCCAGGGTGACCCGCAGGCCCAGGAATGAGGGAGGCGGAGGGAGGGAGGGAACGGGGAAGGGGGAGACGGATGGGGGAGGCGGGAAGGCAGACACGCCAGGGAAATTGGACAGAAAGAAAAAGACGGAGATACACTCAGTGAGAACAGAGAGATGCAGACGGGTGGAGACACACAGAGAAGGAAGGGGTCAGTAGGCCCGAGACGGGGGTGGGAGAGAGACTGGGGAGAAGGGGGGGAGAGAGAGGGGCGGAGGCAGGGCGGACGGGAAGAGGCGAGTAGGGCGGAGCCTGATTCCTGGTCCCTCCTGCGCAGGTGGAGGAGTCCCCAGGGCCGAAGCGGAGGCCCTCGGTGACCGAGACAGAGCACAGTCTGCACTGGATTCCGGGGGGCTGGGCGCCGTGCTCCTGCCCCCCCCTCCTCCCCGCCCTTTCCATCCCCACCCCCTACCCCCAGGGACTCACACTCCAGGTACTTCTCCACCAGCAAGTCCGGGTCGCTCTCCCCGGTCAGCTGGGACAGTTTCTTCAGGGCGTCCTCGTAGCGCAGCACCAGCTTCTCCTGGGAGGTCTTCCGGAGGCCTTCGGCCACCTCCCGGGCTGGGGGGTGAGGGGGCAGCGAGGTCGGCGTCCGGGGCGGCCACCAGGGCGGAGGGGCCTGGCTGGGCACGCTGGTGGGGAGGGGGCAACAACACCGCAGCCGCGCAGACCCCGACCCTCCAGCCCCGCCCTCCGACCGGCCCCGCCCCGCGGCGAGACCTGGAGCGAGCCGCTCCGCCCCTCCCCTGGCCCGGCCTGCTGCAGGCAGAGGTGGCGGCCCCGGCCTCACCCCGTTGCTCGCGCTTCTCCACGACGGCGGGATCCGGCTGCCGATCGCCGTTCTTGAGTTTGAGGAAACGGTGCAGCTGCTCCAAGTGCGCGATCTGCCGCTGCAAGATCTGCACCTCCGTGTCGTTCTGGGCCACCTCCTTCTCTGCCCTCTCCCGCAGCATGCCTAACTTGGCCTTCGCCTCCTCCCTGGGAGGGGTGGGGTGTTAGACCCGGGTCAGGGAGATTGGAGGTTGGATTTGGGTTCATCCTGGGGCCCAGGGAGGGGCGGGGTCAGCCTTGGGTTGGAGGGTGAATGGGGCAGGGTCAGTCTTGAGTCACAGGGATGCGCGGGGTCATCCTGGGGTTGGGGGTGGTGGTGGATGGGGCACAGTCAGCCTGGGGTCTCAGGAATGGGACAGAATCAGGTTGCTGTTACCCTGTGGTCACAAAAGGCAGAAAATTGTCTAGGTTCCTAGAGGTGGGTCAGGATGGGGTTATGGGGCAGAGTCAGGGGGCTCACTCACTGAAACTCCCCTGGCCTGCTTGGCCGAAGGTGGAGCTTTTAAGCTTTTAAACGTAGTGCAGCCCACTGTAAACTCAGAGTGCCCCAAGCCTACTTCACAGGTCACAGGATCAAAGGTCAGAGGGTCATTAGGTTGGGAGAACAGCAGGTCAGTCGCCTCAGGTCCCTGCCCATGGACCATTCTAGCTCCCCTTTCCACACCTTTGCCAACCTTCGTTGCCTCGACTCAGGGCACTAGCTTCTTGCTCTGTTCAAATTCCTCTGAGGCTTACTCAGGTCAGTCCTCCTTGGTGGGAGTCCTCTCCTGGCACCCACCAGCCCTAGCCCCCGGCGACCCCTCTAGCAGCCCCTCAGGGATTAGGACTCACAGTTCTTTCTGTGCCTTGGGCTTCAGGTCAACAGAAAGGCCAGGAAGAGGGAACCCAGCTTCCCAAGAGCCTGGCCCTGCAGGAGATGCTCTAAAGCAGCACGCCATAAGTCCCCACAGCAGCCCATGAGGTAGATACCATTATTGTTGCCATGTCACAGTAGAGGAAACTGAGGCTCAGAGAGGGGAAGTGACCTGCCCAGGTCAGCCAGCAAGGAAGCACTGGAGACACTGGCTGGTCTGACAGAAGTGTTGGTCCTGACAGCTGCCCCCTGCCTTTAACGGAAACCACCCTATCTTTGTACCCGGCTAGGCTGCCCACTGCACTCAGCTGGAGGATTGTTGGCAGAGGCTAGATCCTGGTGATGCAAAGACAGGCCAGCAGGCCATCACTTGTGGGACGTGGCAGAAAAGATGAGCCGGGCCAGTCAGATTCTCTCCTCAGAATCTGAATTGGGAAATGCTAAGAAGGGGACAGCGGGAAGCCGAAGCTAAAAGGGTGTATAGAGAGAAGCCACAAAAGGTCATGTTATGAAGGCCAAGTTAGGAAGAAGCCAGAGCTATGCGTGAACAGAAGCCATGAGTCAAGGCTCTGAAGAGGTCATGGAGGACCACAGGTAACAAATTACAGAATCAGCCATAAAAAGGCATGACGTACTGAGAGATGCTACAACGTGGGTGAACCTTGAAAGCACTGCACTGAGTGAAAGGAACCAGACACAAAAGGACACGTTGTATGATTCCATTTGCATGAAACAGAAAAGTAAATTTACAGAAAGGCAGATGTATAGGTAAATCGTCGAGACAGGAAGGAGACTAGTGGTTGCCAGGACGTTGGGGAAGAGGGAAAGAGAGAATAACCGCTTAATGGTTACAGGTCTCCTTTGGGGGTGATGAAAACAGAAGTGATGACTGCACAACATTACCAATGTACTAAATGCCACTGAATGGTACATTTTAAAATGGTGAATTTGGGGACTTCCCTGGTGGCGCAATGGTTAGGAATCCGCCAGCCAATGCAGGGGACACGGGTTCAAGCCCTCGTCCAGGAAGATCCCACATGCCGTGGAGCAACTAAGCCCATGCGCCACAACTACTGAGCCTGTGCTCTAGAGCCCGCGCAGCACAGCTACTGAAACCCGTGCGCCTAAAGCCCGCGCTCCACAGCTAGAGAAGCAACCGCAGTGAGAAGGCTGCGCACCACAATGAAGAGTAGCCCTCACTCGCCGCAACTAGAGAAAGCCCGCGCACCGCAACGAAGACCCAATGCAGCCAAAAATAAATAACTAAATAAATAAATTTTTAAAAGGTGAATTTTATGTGCGTCTTAACTCAGAGGAAGGAAGGAAGAAGGAAAGAAAGACAGAAGAAGGGAAGGAAAGACGGAAAGAGAGAGAGGAAGAAGGAAGGAAAGAAGGAAGAAAGGGAGGGAGGGAGGAAGGACGGAAAGAAAGAAAGAAAAGAAAGGAGGAGGGCTTCCCTGGTGGCGCAGTGGTTGAGAGTCCGCCTGCTGATGCAGGGGACGCGAGTTCATGCCCTGGTCCGGGAAGATCCCACATGCCGCGGAGCGGCTGGGCCCATGAGCCATGGCTGCTGAGCCTGTGCGTCCGGAGCCTGTGCTCCACAACGGGAGAGGCCACAACAGTGAGAGGCCCGCGTACCGCAAAAAAAAAAAAAAAAAAAAAAAAAAAAAGAGGAACAAAGAAAGAAAGATCACAGAAACCATAAGGTAGATTTGGACTATAACCGATGTCATGAGGAATCATGAACCATGATAAGCAGAAGTCATGTGGTAGAAACAAGACACTGAATAGAAGGTAAGAAACCACTTGGAGCAAGAGAACAGGGCTGAAGCTCAGAAAGGAGCAGAGATGGGATAAGAGAGAGCATGGAACCCAGGAGAGCCCAGAGGCAGAGAGAGACATCCATGAGCAGAGCAGCTGGGGCTTCTAGACTCCACACAACATGATCCTTTATCTGAAGGCGGCTTGAGAGAATCTCTGTCCCTTTCAACCAATACTGACAAATATCAATCTAATTACAGTCATTCACTGATGCTTCCTACGACCTGGCCCCCTGCTATGTGCACTTACTTAAGTCTCTCTATTTTTTTTTTAATATTTGTTTATTTTTGCCGGCGTTGTGCCTTAGGTGCAGCACACAGGCTTCTCTCTAGCTGTGGTGCTTGGGCTTAGTTGCCCCGAGGCATGTGGGATCTTAGTTCCTCGACCAGAGATGGAACCCGCATCCCCTGCATTGGGAGGCAGATTCTCAACTACTGGACCACCCGGGAAGTCCCTTAAGTCTCTTTATTTATTTATTTGGCTACCCCCTGTGGCTTGTGGGATCTCAGTGCCCGGACCAGGGATTGAACCAGGGCCATGGCAGTGAAAGTGCGGAATCCTAACCGTTGGACCGCCAGGGAATTCCCCTTAAGCCTTTCTACATCCCTATGTGCTACATGCCATTAACAGACTTGGGTTAAAGAGGTTAATTCATACACCCAAGGAGAGGGACCTTGCCCGAGAAGCTGGGAAATCAGCGGAGGTGGGAGAGAAAGGGGCACCTTATAAAAAAAAAAAAAAAAGGATGTTCTGACAATCTATTTCTTGAGTTTGGAACCTTCCCACCACGTCCTTAAGAAAATGCATGGACTGAGTCATCTAGGATGCCTCCAGGGGCCCTACCTGATGGTGTAGGCAGAGGTGGAGGAGACCATGAGGGTCCTGACCGTGCCCCGCAGGAGCTGCAACTCCTGCCAAGAGAACAAAACAGATACCACTTCTAACACCCTCATCACTGGACGGCCCTCCTTTAAGCCCCACGTTTCCCCAATAAGAAGTGAGGCTCCTGGGCCTTAGAAACTTGGACCTTCCTCATTAGCGGCAATCGGTGAAAGGATTTTAAACAGGTACCAAGTGAAAGGAAAGCCAGATTGATGAGCAGGAAGCAACAAAGACCCAACACAGCCAAAAACAAATAAATAAATAAGAACTGCAGTGAAACATCCAACCCAGAATATTCCTAAGAGTGCTGACCTAACTTTGTGGTGGGGGTCAGAAATTTGTGTGAATTTCATGATTGTGACCACGCTAATCTGTTTTCTAGTCCTATGGAAGTGTCTTTGCAGAGTTATGCGTAAAAGGGTTATTTCAGGAGAAAGACAAGAGGAAATTATATATATATATATATATATATATATAGTACATATACATAATGTGTATATATGTATTAATGTATATAAACATATATACACACATACACATACATATACATATATAATGTGTGTATATATTAATGTAATACGCACATACATATATATGTATGTATAAATACGTGCGTATGTGTGCACGTGCACACACACAACACACAAACACATACACTTTGTAACAAGAAACCTAGGATGGATAACCAGAAACTATGGGGGCTGAATGGGAACGAAGTGGAAGAGATGGTGAGGAAATGATGTTTCTGTGGCTTACCTTTTGGCATAGTTTTGATTTGGGAACCCCTGTCGACGGTTTACATATTCATAAAGAAAATTAAATCAACAAGGATAGGGGGGCTTCCCTGGTGGCGCAGTGGTTGAGAGTCCTCCTGCCGATGCAGGGGACACGGGTTCGTGCCCCGGTCCGGGAGGATCCCACATGCCGCAGAGCGGCTGGGCCCGTGAGCCATGGCCACTGAGCCTGCGCGTCCGGAACCTGTGTTCCGCAACGGGAGAGACGGCAGCAGTGAGAGGCCCACGTACCGCAAAAAAGAAAAAAAAAAAAAAACAACAAAAAAAAAACAAGGATAGGGGAGAGAACTAAAACCAAATACAAACAGAGGCAAGTGAACCTAACTGTATTTCAAACAAAGAACAGAACCACAAAGAAGACCAAAACAATAGGAACTAATCCCAGTGACTTCTGAATACAATAATGTGAGATAGATAAATAGATAGATAGATACCCATGCCCTCAGAGAACAAAACGATCTGCAAACAAATCTTGAACTCTCAGGGGGTTCAGGGGGTGTTAGTACAGCTATAGCAATTCTGAACCTCTCTTATGTGTTTTGTAGGACTGAACAAGTGAGTACATATATAAACGCTGTTGGGAGCCAAGGTTCCCGCTGTGGGGAAGAAAAAGATAAAATAGGGAAGGTTCAGGAATAACCCAGGGGTGATGGGTTGGAATGAGAGGCACCGACATGAACTCACAATTTTAAAATATGTGCGTGTGTTTCCTAGCTCCAGAGAAAGGGTCCCAAGGCAGGGACACCCCAGTAGCAGTGAGGACTCCTAGTGCCTGTAATTTGGTTTCTCGGCACCAAGAGAAGAAGAAGCAGGACTCCCCACTAGGAAGAATCAAGACTCCATGGAGAAATGCTAACTTGAGAGTTAAGGCTGATCAAGTACGAGAAAATCTGGACTATCTTCCTGTACCAGAAAGTAAGGAAGTGTTCAAAAAAAAAAACAAAACAGATGGGCTTGTCAGAAGGACAGAGAAGCCAGCTTGAGGGGGCTCTCACCAGCCGAATCTGAGACAATGTGAACATCATGATGAGCACTATGGATTATAACCCAGAGAATAAAGTAAGAATACATGAATGCTTCCTGATAACCCATAAATATACTTAAGAAGTTCTTCCTTAAGTAAAATGCCATCTTATAAATGAAGAAGAAATGAGAGAGAAGAATCACCATTTGGTAGCCATTACAATAATAATTATTCAGGCAAAAGTCATTAAGGGATGCTAGAACAATTGCGTGAAAATGTATCAGGGAACAGGATATTTACATGGTCTCAAAGAACCTCCCTGGACTCTCATTACAAAGAGGAAAACTCTATATTGGAGAAACCTGGCTGACCAAGCAATCAAGGTCAACGTTACTAGTTATGGGACAAACTTACATTATGTGCCTACTGATATAATGCCCGCAAATGACGCAATACCACCTTTGTGATATTCCACCAAAAATGCACAACTTGAATCTAATCATGGAGAGAGATCAGATCAATCCACATTGAGGGACGTCACACAGCACAACTGGCCTGGATGCTTCCAAAATGTCAAAGTCATGGAGACAAAGAAGGGCCGAGGGGGACTTCCCTAGTGGCGCAGTGGTTAGGAATCCACCTGCCAATGCAGGGGACACGGGTTTGATCTCTGGTCTGGGAAGATCCCACACGCCGCGGAGCAACTAAGCCAGCAAGCCACAACTACTGAGCCTGTGCTCTAGAGCCCACGAGCCACAACTACTGAGCCCGTGTGCCACACCTACTGAAGACTGCGTGCCTAGAGCCCATGCTCCACAACAAGAGAAGCCATCACAATGAGAAGCCTTCATGCTGCAAGGAAGACCCAACGCAGCCAAAAAAAAAAAAAGAAGAAGGGCCGAGGGACTGTTCCAGATGAATGAGGCCAGGACAGCCAAATGCAATGTGGGATCCTGGCCCAGAGCCTGGAGCAGATAATTAAATTAGCTATAAAGGACATTGTTGGAACAATCATGAACTTTAAATATGCACTGCTTAGAATTGTAACAATGTTCAGTGCCCTTGGGTAAGGGCACTTTGTTTATATAAGAAAATGGTCTTGTGCTTAGGAAATACACACTGAAGTTCTTAGGACCATAATGCCTGCATCGTACTCTCAAATAGTTCGGCAGTTGTGATAATAAATTATTTTCAGGGAAACTAATTACACACACACGCAGACAGACAGAGAGTAAATTTGGCAAATTATCAATCTTGGTGAAGGATATATAGTTCTTTGTACTATTCCTGCACCTTTTCTGCAAATTTGAAATTATTTCAAAGGAAAACTTAAAGAAAGAGAGAGGGAGAGAATAAAGGAAGGAAGGGAGGTGAAAGGAGGGAGGGAGGATTCTTCAAAGGACTTCAAAGGTTATTGAGAAACCCATGGAATGTAAATGGTCCTGCCTGCGCCTTGGTTGCCCTGGGTGATAACACTCAAAGTGCCATCTCTGCTTTCTGCAAATCTCAATGAGGCTGCATTCTTTGCTGGGGGTAGCCCGGAACATTCTCAGGTGTCCATTCCCTCCGGACTAAAGTAAACCTATGGCTCCGGGCGATTCCGTACTTGAGGCCCGAGTGTTGGAGAAAGTAGGGTGACTCTTGCATCCTCCCCTGCACTCCAGCTGGGCCACGGGGTCCTGGGCTTCAGGGCCACTGACCTTCTGCAGCTTGCGGTCCACATTCAGATAGCGGTTCCTCTCGATCTGCAGGAGATCCAGCTCCTCCCGCAAGGTTGCATTCCGAACCAGCTGGTTGTCAAAGCGACAGGTGACCTGGAATGGGGGTGGTGGTGTGGGAGAGGATGCCAAGAGTCTGTCTGAGGCCTGGCCTGCCTCCCTCTTCCATTCTCAGCCGAGAAGGGGGCACTTGTCAGGTAGGGGGCCCATTCCCAATTTGGGGGCTCTGAGAGCATCACCACCACCCCCCAAGACCCAAGCACCAGTCTCCTTTCCTGGGAGACCCTCCATCCCTCCAGGATCTTGTCTCCTAACCCCACTTAGGGAACCCACTATTTTAGGCCACTCTGCATCCAGGAATCTGGTCCACCGTTTCTAAAACTTGACTCCCATGCTCAGTTCTTCCCCCAAGAGTTCAGGTCGGGAGACAGCCAAGAGGCTGACCCTCACCCTGTCCAACTGGTCTTCAAGGATCTTAATCCTTCGCTGGCTCTTGACCTTCTGATCCAGGATGCATCCCGAGGCCTTGACATCCTTCCCATGGGCAAAGATCCGGCTCTCCCATTCCTGGATCTGGAAGAAAGAACATGGTGCCTATTTGTTGACTGAATGCGGGAGAGATTGAGGGAATGAGGGAGATGAGAGGGAGGGTGAGTGACTGAGCGTGGTTGACATCTGCGGTCCTTGTGGCCCCAGCCGTCTGCTGTACCCCTCTTCTGAGGTGAGTACCCAACCTTCCACGTGGATCTGACTTCCAACCATAACGAGCCGCCCTGCCGGCCACATGACCCAGGTCCAAACAATCCATTTAGAGATGGACGTGTGACCCAAGCTGAGCCAGCCTGAATCCTTTCCTGATATTTTGGGAGAAACGTGTGATCTGGATGGATGCGACGCCACACACAGTAGACAAAGTGGAGACAAGAGCCTGAGAATGAGACAGGCTGGGACCTGGGACCCTTTGCTGCAGTGCCTGCACCTGGACAAACGTCTCCTCGGGCAACAAAATACAAAGGAACTATAAGGGACTAAAAATAACTGCGTGCATGTGCAGTTAGGGCAAATTCTGGACAAGAATGTACAAAAAGACCAAAAAAACCCAGCTGCCACTTCTGAAGAGTCAGGAACAAAAAAAGGGGTTCGGGAGCAAAAGCAAGGTACTACGTGTGCCCCCTGCAGTACACCACCAGAGGGGTGGGCAAAACACCTAAGCCACTCCTCTGGCCCAACCCGTGGACACACCCCTACTGTCACCCCATAGAAGGGACAAGCTCGCCCCACCTCTGGGAGCAAGCAAGGGAACCTGTTACTTGTTTTCGCTCCCTGCTGCCGCAGCAGGGGCCCCAGTAAAGGCCTGTCTGAATTTCTTGTCTGGCCTCTAACCAATTTCTTTTTTTTTTATTTTATTTTTTTGCGGTACGCGGGCCTCTCACCGTTGTGGCCTCTCCCGTTGCGGAGCACAGGCTCCGGACGCGCAGGCTCAGCGGCCATGGCTCACGGGCCCAGCCGCTCCGCGCACGTGGGATCTTCCCGGACCAGGGCACGAACCCGCGTCCCCTGCATCGGCAGGCGGACTCTCAACCACTGTGCCACCAGGGAAGCCCAATCAATTTCTATTGACTGGGGAAGGCCAAGAATCCCGGTCTATACCAAGAGGAGGGGAAGATAAGCCCTGATGCCTGAAACGAACTTCCAACCTGCCCTTCTCATTCCCGTATTCATCTTGACTTGTTTGGGGTATGCTGTTTTCCCAACTAGATTGGAAACTCCACGAGGGCGGATTTTTAGCTTTTCTGTGCTTGACACAGAGTTGGCATGCAACAAAACATGCAGACTAAATGAATAAATGAATTGCTTGATACTGTGTTTCCCGATTTGTGCAGCCCTATGGGTTGAACTGAGTCCCCTGTAAATCCGTATGTTGAAGTGCTAATCCCCAGAACCTCAGAATGTGACCTTATTTGGAGACAGGGTTTTTACAGAAGTAATCAAGTTAAAATGAGGTCACTGGGTTGGGCCCTAATTCTACACGACTGGCGTCTTTATAAAAAAGGGGAAATTGGCACAGACATGCCAACAGGGAGAATGCCAGATGAAGGTGAAGGCAGATGTGGAATCTTAAAACTATAACACACTAGTGAAAATAACAAAAAGAAGCAGACTCACAGATATAGAGAACAAACTAGTGGTCACCAGTGCAGGGGGAGAGGTAATATAGAGGTGGGGAGTGGGGGGTACAAACGATTGGGTGTGAAATAGGCTATAAGGATGTATTGTACAACACGGGGGATATAGCCAGTATTTTGTAATAACTGCAAATTGAGTATAACCTTTAAAATTGTATTACAAAATTTTTTAAAAGAAAAAAAAATGAACGCAGAGATTGGAATGATGCTTCTACACACAAAGGAATGCCAAAAATTGCCAGCAAACCACCAGAAGCTAGGCAAGATGCACAGAACAGATTCTCACAGCCCTTAAAAGGAACCAACCCTGCCGACATCATGATTTTGGACTTCTGGCCTCCAGAACTGTGTGACAATAAATTTCTGTAGTATAAGCCACGCAAAGAAACGAATACATGCGCCAAGGCACCCCAGAGCATTGCAGCAAACTCAAAGGGGCAACCATGGGGATATTTTAAAATTTGAGGGAGACACATTGACATTGGTCAGACACCACATGAACCTGGAGCTCAAGGTAGTTCCCAGGTTCAATGTGAGACGGTGCTACATTCCTTTTGGTGACGTCCCATCTTTCTTTGTTGTTGCTGTTGTTTTGTTTTTTGGGGTTTTTTTTTAACCACGCCACATAGCATACGGGATTTTAGTTCCCCGACCAAGGATTGAACCAGTGCCCCTTGCAGTGGAGGCGCAGAGTTATAACCACTGGACCACCAAGGAAGTCCAATGTCACATCTTTCTTTCTTTTTTTTTTTTTAATATTTATTTAGGCTGCCCCGGGTCAGTTTCAGCACGCAGGATCTTCGCTCTGGCATGTTTCTAGTTGCGAGATGCGGACTCTCATTTGCAGCATGCGTTGTGGGATCTAGTTCCCCGACCAGGGATCGAACCCAGCCCCCCTGCCTTGGGAGTGCAGAGTCTTACCCACTGAACCACTAGGGAAGTCCAACGTCACATCTTTCTGAAACTGAGTTTTTAGCAGTTGCTGTGATAAAAATCAAATACCCCAAAACGGTACCATTGGGGGAAACTAAGCAAAGCGTACAAGGACTCTCTCTGTATTATTTCTTCAAACCACAGGTGAGTCTACAATTACCCCAGTAAAATTTTCAATTAAAAAAAACAGCAAGTACTGCACAGAAATCAGTGTGGAATGAGAGTGGCGAGTCCACCCTGACTCCAAGATCTGAAAAGTTGCAAAGTGGCCAATAGGCACAAACGTGCCACAGGTAATTGTGGTTTTTGAGAATGAAACACAATTTTTTTCAATTTATGTATATTATTTTTTCAAATGGTTTCTAGGTTGTTAGGATGCAAACATTTATTGAGTTGTTTGGTCCAAACTGCTATAATAGAGCTGTTAGCAGTGCAATACTGGGGGCCCCCCCGGACAGCTCTTGAGAGCTGATTGTCACATTTTCAGGAATTACATGAGTTAAATTGTTGGTAGTTTGAAATTGACCATTATATTAGTTTTCCATTTCTGCAGAAAAATTACAGTCGCCCTTCAGTATCCACAGGGGATTAGTTCCAGGACTCCCCTCAGATACCAAAATCCAAAGATGCTCAAGTCCCTTATATAAAACGGCATAGTATTTGCATATAACCTACGCACAACTTCCTGTATGCTTTAAATCATGGCTAGATTACTTATAGTACCTAATACAATGTAAATATTATGTAAGTAGTTGTAAATACAGTGTAAGTGCTATGTCAATAGTTGCTGGCCCCCAAAATTCAAGTTTAACCTTTTGGAAATTTCTGGAATTTCTTTTTTTTTTTTTAATATTTCCCATCCTTGGTTTGTTGAATCCACATATACAGAACCCGTAGATATGGAGGGCCAACTGTACCACAAACCCTGTGGCTTAAAACAACACCCATTTATTATCTTGAAGTTTCCATGGGTCAGGAATGTGACACAGCTCAGCTGGAACCTCTGCTCAGGACTCACAAAGCTGCAATCAAGGGGTCACCAGGGCCACGGTCTCATCCAGGACTCACCACGTGGTTGATGGCAGAATTCAGTTCCTTGTGGTTGCAGGACTGAGGCCCTCAGCTCCTAGGAGCCCCCAGAAGTTCCCTGCCATGTGGTCCTCTCCACAGCATGGCAGCTTCTTCAGTCTACTATGGTGCAGTATTAAATACCATAACCGGGCTTCCCTGGTGGCGCAGTGGTTAAGAATCTGCCTGCCAGGGCAGGGGACACAGGTTCGAGCCCGGGTCCAGGAAGATCCCACATGCCGCGGAGCAACTAAGCCCGTGCACCACAACTACTGAGCCTGCGCTCTAGAGCCCGTTAGCCACAACTACTGAGCCCGCGTGCCACACCTACTGAAGCCCATGCGCCTAGAGCCTGTGCTCCGCAACGAAAAGCCACTGCAGTGAGAAGCCCGCACACGGCAACAAAGAGTAGCTCCCGCTCGCCGCAACTAGAGAAAGCCCGTGTGCAGCAACGAAGACCCAACACAGCCAAAAATATATAAATAAATAAATAGCATAACCTCATCAAGGGAGGGACAACCCATCACCTGTGCCAAATTCTGCCATCGCGAGTTCTGCTGCCACTGAAGGGGAGGGGATTCTATAAGGGTGTGACTCACTGGGGGTCATGATAGGGTATGTTCACCTCGGCCTAGATGAGAACGTTGATGTTATGAAAATCAGAAAATGCTCATTGTAAATCAACTATACTCTAATATAAAATTTTTTAAAAAAGAAAATGCTACATATCAGGGTGCTTTCCCCCGCTAATTGCTGGTTTCCCAGCACACCCCTGTTAGATGTTTCTTTGGGGGCTAAAAAATTTACTAAGAAATTAAGGGCTCCAGGAACAAAGAAAGTTTAGGTGAGATAGGCTGGGACCTGGGACCCTTTACTGGAGTGCTTGTACTTGGACCTGGACAAACGTCTCCTCCAGCAACAGAATACAAAGAAACTATAAGGGACTAAAAATAACTGCATGCACGTGCAATCAGTGGGGCAATTATGAACAATAAGACAAAAAATGGCCACAAACCAACTGCCACTTCTGAGGTGCTGGGAGCAAAAGCAGGGTACAGCTCTTGATGCCCACACACAGCACCACCAAGGGGGTGGGCAGACCGCCTAAGCTTCGCCTCCTGCCCAACCTACCCATTCACCCTACCCTCACCGCATTTAAGGAACAAGCTCACCCCGCCCTTTGGGGAGCAAGCAAGGGAACCTGTTACTTGTTTTCGCTCCCTCATCCCAGACCAGAATTCCTGGTCTGGCCTCTTATCAATTTCTATTGATTAAAGGGTCCAGTCTTGGGAATTCCCTGGAGGTCCAGTGGTTAGGACTCGGTACTTTCACTGCCATGGCCTGGGTTCAATCTTTGGTCGGGGAACTAAGATCCCTCAAGCCGCG